CCCCCCCCCCCCCCCCCCCCCCCCCCCCCCCCAATCCTGCCTTTATGTTACTGAATGGCCACTCCAGGGTTGGGACCAACCATCCCTGCAGGCTTTGGGCCACCCTTTTTGTTCCTGCCCCCCCCACCAGCCTGCCCAGTTGGTCCAGAAGGTCACACCAGTCCCCTGATCATGGGCAGTGGCTCTGTCCCCACCACAGAACTGACCAGCCATCCCTTCTCCTGGCCAGTTAAGTCCCCTCCATGTTGCTGCAGCATCCAAGGCGGTTGTGTGTCGGCTGTTTCTTCAGCAGCAACAAAGGAAGCTGAGAGGGTCTAACGTATTTCCTCCCTCCCTTCTTCTCATCCTTCCCTTCCTCTCCTCTTTTTTATTTCTCACATCCCTCCCTCCTTTCCAAGTCCAAAGGGCTTGCAAAGAGGCAGCCTTGAACGAGGAGGACTGTGCTGACCCCAAATCAAAGAGAGTTGGGAAGCCCCTTTTTTCAGGCTAACCCGTTCTACTAAAGAAGGCCTGACAAGGGTCTAACCAGGCTCCCCTTGAGAGGCAGGGCAGAGCCTACCTCCAAGAGATGGTGAAGGGAGGGATCGCCAGTCTCTCACTTATCTCTAGGGCAGGAGAGATGAGGTCTGGTGTGGAAAGGTTTCCTTCTCCACGTCGTCCATTGAAAAGCCAGTTGAGAACTGCTCAGCCCCCAAGGCCCAAAATGGTGCTTTGGGTCATCCATGCACATCAAGGGAATGGGTGACTTACTCCCAGGGTCTCATTCTCTCCTGCTGCACACAGAAGTCCCACCCCTCGGCCTGTGGAGAAAGGGAAACGATTGCTTGGGTTCCACGGCCCTTTTCCTACCACAAGACTCCACAGGAGCTCTCTCCACCTCAGTGTTTCTCAGCCTTGCCAGTTGGAAGATGTATGGACTTCAACTCCCAGAATTCCCCAGCCAGCCTTTCCGGGAGTTTGAAGTTCCCACCTCATGAAGTGGCCAAGCTTGAGAAGCAGCAGTGCTCCAGCCCTTGTGTGGACCTCTTACCCAATGCCTGCAGGGCAAGTTCTCCCTCTTGGATTACCGAGGCACCTGCCTCACATCCTAATGATTGTAGCCATCATGGCGTCCTCATGCCGATGGTGCCGGGTGCCCTCCCTGTCCCTCCTAACAGACACCCAAAGGGGAACATCCCTTGAAGATGACCCCTGGCCATAGAACAGGACGCAAACATCTATTTTACTGACTCAATCTTAATTTGCAAGAGGTTGATTGCATCGTCTGATTGTCCTTCCTCAACAATTGCAGCCTGTTTTGTAGATGCCAATTCAATAGGATAATTAAATTTTAAGCCAGGAAGCAGAAGTAGCTGTATCACAGAACGGGCGGAGGTTAACTTCAGGTTAAGCCTTCGTTGTAAAGGAGCCATCCGGGCCTCTGCTCACTCTGTCTGTTTGTTCTCTGCTTAGCTGTGTCGCTAAGCAATGCTGTCCTCCAGAGGGTGCGTCCCCGTGGACCAGAGAAATTGCAAGGGACGTTCTTTCAAAATATCACGTCTACAAAACCATGCAGGGACTTCAGCCTAGAAGAAAGAAGACATTTATAAAATGGATCCTCTTCATTCCATGGACACAGAGAAGAGGACCAGAAGCAACGGATGGAAACGAATCAAGGAGAGAAGCAACCTGAGAACGAAGGAGGAATTTCCTAACAGGGAGAGCAGTTGACTAGTGGAACAGAAGTTGCCTCCAGAGGCTGTAGGTGCTCCAGCCCTGGAGGCTTTTAAGGAGAGAATGGACAGCCGTTTGTCCAGAATGGTGTAGGGCAGCGGTCTCCAACCTTGGCCATTTTAAGACTTGTGGACTTCAACTCCCAGAGTTCCTCAGGCAGCAAAGCTTCTCCAAAGCTGGCTGAGGAACTCTGGGAGTTGAAGTCCACAAGTCTTAAAATGGCCAAGATGGGAGACCCCTGTTCCAGAGAGTTCTCGACTTACAACCAGTTGCTTAGCAACCATTCAAAGTTCTAACAGGCCTAGCAAAGCTGGTTGAGGAACTCTGGGAGTTGAAGTCCACAAGTCTTAAAATGGCCAAGGTTGGAGACCCCTGGTGTAGGGTCTCCAGCTTGAGTGGGGGGGTTGGGCTAGAAGACCGCCGACGTCCCTTCCAACTCTGTTATTCTGCATTAGTCTGTAAGAAGTGTTCGTCTGCCTATTTAATACTTACATGTTGCTTACATGTTATTTACATTGGTGTGAGAAGTATAAAATGGCATTCACTCTAGTATTTCAGTGATACAAATAACATTGACAGAGAACAAAATCTAGGCCACCACAATCAATGTAGAAATATACACGCATCAACAGCAGGAGGAGGTTCTAATAACCATAGAGAGGAGGTTGTGATATACTCAAGCAGTCGTCAGTCATTCACTTAACTAATAAAAGAGGTTCAGTTTTTCCCAAAGATCGAACACAAAAGGAAACTACAGTGTTTTTGATTCAGAGAAGGAGGAATAATGTCTTATTCCTCCTTTCTTGGCGCAGAATTCCTCGCTACTCAAGATGACAAAGTGCAGGTAGAAAAAGAGAAGGCAATCATATTCTGCATGAATTTTTAGCCGCCTGGTCTGCTTCTGAAGGCAAACGTTTTTCTTCTTCTTCTTTTTTTTATGTTGTATAATCACATCCTATTTAAAAGCCAAGTTCACACTGCATACACCACAGACATGATACAATAAGAAGTATGCAAAGACTCAGACAACTAATCCAGACAGAAGAAGGGCATTTCAGTTCTCCCAGAAAATCAGAAATGAAGGAAGCTACCCCAAGAGGTGGCAGGAATAGAAATCCTTACAAAGCTGAGGAAAAGCAGAATGCTCTCCCCCATCAAATGCACCAAGATTATTCCACGAGTAACGTTTCGGTCCTGCCTGCAGGGTGAAATGAAGAGTATGCTTCCTCTGGCGTTCCTAGGGCTTCTCCGTTGTCCTTTGAGAAAGCGTCCCGAATGGGTAGAGGAGGTTCCCGTGGCAGCCAGCTCTGTGGCAAGAGGACATCCTGGGTTGCGCAGGAGAAACAGTGGGTCTCTGGGGGCCTCCAGGTAAAGGGAGCCCCAGTGGGGTGGCAGGCAGAAAGACCCCATAGTGCAGCAACGGAGGAGGTAGGAGGAGCCAAGAAGGACGGCCGTGTGGCCTCTCCTTCCCTGCCAGTGTTGCAGGAGGAATATCAGTCCATTTAGGGTCTCAAGAGGAGGCTGACCACCAGCAGGCCCCGCCCCCACCTCTCTCGCCCTTTCTCAGAGAGGAGAGGAGGAGCAGGGTGGGTGGGTGGTGCAGACGATGATTGCCTCAAGAAAGGCTGCAGAGCGGGAGGTGGCGATGGCTCCTTCCCCCTCTTTCTTTGGAGGCCTGTCCTGTACAAGGAGGGCATCAAGTGGCCTCCCTGGAGCTTCCCTTTTGGGGCACCCTTGGCCCACATGAAGAACCGATGTCTGTTGGCAGCTTGGGAATGATGGTCTTTGGGTAGAGTTCACTCCACCGCCATGTTGGATCGTGCGCAGCAGGCCGGGTTCCTCAGGCAGTGCATGACCATGCCGAAGGAGAGCCGCTTCTCCCCTTTGGCGGGCTGCTTCTCAGTGGCCTTTGCGCAGAGCTCCTCCGGCTCCGATTGGAACTGCTCTATCTGGATCTCCAGGTGCTTCTGGATGGCCAGCCCAAGCTCCTCGGGGTCAACCGCTGCCCCGTAGACTTCCCAGGTCATCCCTTCCTCGTCCCACCTGACCTCCCGCATGGGAGACTTCTCGCCCTCAGCTTCTGGCTTCAGGCTCACCTCTGGGAAGACATGGGGCTGGCCTTCTGCCAGAAGGGATGGGCTGGTGGCCACGGACCTGCATTCCTTTCCTGCAAACGTCTGCACCTCTGCGTCTCTGTGGCCCAGCGGAGGCCAGAATCCCTGGTTGAGGTCACTCCTAGAGGTCATGGTCCACGTGTCTTTGGTCTTCATGACCGTCTGCACCCCGTCTTGGTGGCTGTTCCAGACCACGTACATGGTCTTCGTCTCCTCCTGAGCCTGGCTTGCTCGCCCATAAGGCTGAGGATGCAGCCCCCGCTCCCCATGGGCCCCACAGCATCCCAGGAGGGGCTTGGCTTCCACACTTGACCTGTTCAGAGAGGAGGTTTCAGCAGCAAGCAAAGATGAACAACACTCAGGGTTGGCTTGTTCTTTGTCCAGGTCGTTCCCTGGGCATACCGGCCTGGGGGCAAACTGGAGAGAAGGTATTGGTAAGGAATGGCAGTAGGCAGGAACGGTGCCTTCTTCCTTGGTGGAAGATGCGTGGCTTCTACTGCAGGGTGGATGAGGAAAACCATTAGGAATGGTCACCATTTCAGGTGGGCAGGTGCCAGCTGAAAAGCTGCTGCGTCCTATTCCGCTGTAGGCATGCGTTGTCCTGTTGGAGAGACTGGCAGGACTCAGAGCAAGAACACTGGGGTGATATGCTCCAGAGTCTGTGAAAATAGCAACATGGTGTGACGTAGGCCCTTGGTGAAAGACATTAGCAGGTACAGTATTATTGTCTCTTGACAAACTTGGAAACGGCTTTCTGTGGCTTTGCCAATCTGGGCTGTTTTCACGAGGCTCCGCTCCATATCTCAGTCCTGCGATCATCAGTCTGTCCGCCAAAGCAAAGTTACTACTGTGTGAACATACTGCCGGGGATGTGGCACTTGACTCCATGTGGAAGGCGGGACTTGGTGGCTTGCAGCTACAGGTGAGGTCGGGGAGGCTTCTCCGGACTGCAACTCCCGGACCCTCCGTTGTCCACTGATGTTGGAGGTTTGCACCAGAGGCTGGAGTTAACTTCTCAACAGGGCTTCCCTGGAGGTGTGCTCTGGGATACACCCTCCCTTCTTCAGGGTCTGTTGGGGACTGGTCAACACTGAAGAAGTGGCTGCTGTTTCTGATGTGATGTTGTGCATTGTCTTGTGGAGAGAAGCTGCTGAGAATTCTTCCAGTGGTGGTCCCCTTCTCCTGGCCTTGGCCAACAGAACCACTGAGGCTTTTTGGGAGGTCCCGTCTGTGGTCCTGGCTTTCTTCAAAACTTCCTTGCCTGGAGCCTTCTAGATTTGTGGAGCTCTTTGGCAGAGGGTGGCAGTTGACACTCAGATTATTCAGGTAGAGGCAGTTCAAGGTTTCCGCCAGGGAGCAGTTGTGGAGCTGATGGTCTTTGTTTGCCATAGTTGGTGGCAGTGCTGAAGGAAGAGGAAAAGACAAGATTAGCAGTCAGCTTAGATGCTAGAGAGCTCGGTTCGAGTTGGGCAATGGATTCCTCTCCTTCCTTGCATTGTACAACATCAAACACCTGAACTACGGTTTTCAGAGCACGAGGTATTTGAAGAGCATTTAAACCAATGGTGCTTTCAAAGCAGTGTTTACTGGGCTCTTTCCTGCAGCTGGAGTCTCCTGGGGCTTCCTTTATTTGGGGAGTTGAATGCATTTCTAAGTTTATGAAGTCTAAAGAGAAAACACTGTAAAAACTGTAGGTCTCAAAGGCCAAACTAGATGAAGGTCTATAAAAGAGAAGAGCTTCCCAAAAGACCTTCCTGGTTAGAGAGGGTCTTGTGTACTGCACCCAAGATAGATAGATAGATAGATAGATAGATAGATAGATAGATAGATAGATAGATAGATAGATAGGCAGGCAGGCAGGCAGGCAGGCAGGCAGGCAGGCAGGCAGGCAGGCAGGCAGGCAGGCAGGCAGGCAGGCAATAGGATGGATAGATGATGGATGGATAGATAGATAGATGTAGGTAGGGAGAGAGAAAAAAAGAAAAGATGGCAGACAGAAGATAGAATGATTGATGGTGAAATATAGGTTTTTCTTACCCTCCTTAGTCCTTAGAGGAGAAATGTAAGTCTTAGAAAGCAGAGCATGGATAATATGTGTCCCAAAGGTGTTTTTCTTGGATGAGAAGCTAAACATTTTCAAGGAAAAACCCAAGAAAGTCCAGTTGCTTTTGGAAAAAGCACCTTTGGGACCTGGGTGATTGTGAATCCCCATAGAAATTAACAACATCTGCAACAACACAAAGGGAACAAAGGAGCTAGAACTGCATGGCAGAGAGTTAATACTCTACATTAATGACCTCTGTGATCATATTAAAAGCAACTGCATTCTTTTTGCTGATGATGTAAAGCTATTCAGCACCACCGACAATACTGCTACCCTTCAAAAAGACCTCGACTATGTATCAGAATGGTCAAGCAAATGGCAACTTCAAATCTCAACAAATAAATGCTCTGTCTTACATATTGGCAACAAAAATCAGAAAATATAATACAAGCTGAATAGTCAAGACCTTGTTGATGATCCAAACTCTATCAAGGACCTTGGAGTACTCCACTCTAATGATCTAGTGCTAGAGCCCACTGTAACTACATAGCCAAAAAGGCATTAAGAGTTGTTAACCTAATCCTGTGTAGCTTTTTCTCCAGCAATATCACACTACTAACTAAAGCATTCAAAACATTTGCTAGATCAATACTTGAATACAGCTCATCGGTCTGGAACCCGCATTACGTATCTGATATTAATACAGTTGAGAAAGTCCAGAAATATTTCACAAGAAGAGTTCTCCACTCCTCTACTCGTTGCAGAATACCTTATGCCACCAGACTTGAAATTCTAGACCTAGAAAACCTAGAACTATGCCGCCTTCGGTCTGATCTAAGTATAGTACATAAAATTATACATTGCAATGTCCTACCTGTCAATGACTGACTACTTCAGCTTCAACCACAACAATACAAGAGCACACAATAGATACAAACTCAAAGTAAACCGCACTAAACTTGATTGCAGGAAATATGACTTCAGCAACAGAGTGGTCAATGTCTGGAATACTCTACCTGACTGTGGTTTCTTCCCAAACCCCCAAAAACTTTAACCTTAGACTGTCTACTATTGACCTCACCCCTTTCCTAAGAGGCCTGTAGGGGGCGTGCATAAGCGCACCAACGTGCCTACCGTCCCTGTCTTATTGTTTCTTTTTATTTTTCTTATATGTATCCATCTCATGTATTCATAACTATGTTTATAGTTATACCCGTTATCTTATAATCGCTTGACAAATAAATAAAATAAAATAAATAAATAAATAAACGTTTCATGAACTTGCTCTCTGCTCTCCAAGCTGTTACTAGAAGAACAGCAGGGCAAATTTAAAAGCTGGCTCACCAACAACAGGGCAATTCCTTAAGGAGTACATTACAAGAACCTCTGGAGAACAGGGAAGCTGTGTGTGTTTGCCATGGTGCCTTACATTTAGAGTGTTTTGTCTTTCTATCAGTTTCCAGAGTTTATGGTTGAATAATTGAGCCTGCCTTCTTCCCCTCCCGTCCCCTCTCCTCTTCCTCCATCCCTTAACCTATCTTCCTTCCTTCCCTTCCTCCTTCCTTCCCTCCATTACTTACTTACATTACTTACTCACTTGCTTATTCTCCCTATAGTATGAGCAGCAATACATTCTATTAAGTTCTTAAAGTTTAACAACTACATTTATCTGCCTTGCATGAAATCCAGCAACAGCTATTAATGGTTTGAGAGTCATGTCCTCTTTTAAATCCAGCCTTTTTAATCTCTTCTGGAAATTAATTACCACCAAAAAAAGTCCTGGAATTAAAAAAGAAAAAAAAAAGAAACAGAAATGCACACACAAAAATGAAAACATCCCTTTGAAAAGATGGCTATTAATCCCCTCTATCTTGACTTTGTTTCTGAAAACTTGCACACACACACACACACACACACACAAGGCCAGCAAGTTCCAGGCACAGGTATTCCCCAGTATTCTCTTAGAATCTCAAGACACCAGATAAAGACAATCAACTTGGTCTCCAAGCAAAGGAAGACGCCATTCCTGAATATGCCTGCTGTTTGATTCTACATGTTCTTGCTTACGTCTTCTTTAATTTTTGACATGTTCTAGAAAATCCCCAGTTCTGCATAAACGAGACACGAAATTCAGTGAAGAAATTTCCCATGTTCTGTTTTTCAAAAACCTCCCTTATACGTTGTTAAAACCTGTCACAATACCTAGCATTCAAAATCATTGTGTGCTCCTTTCCTTTTTTAATTTCATTCTGCACAAATGACGTGATACTTTATTTATCTCAGTCCTGAGCTTTCCATTTTCTACAGGAGTAATCCTATGGTTTATAACTGCAGCAACTACTATTAATATTATTATAATCCCTTTTTGCACATTATTTTATCTCTTCAGGCAGATATGTTCCATCTGCAGATTCATATTTAATGCCACCATTGAACAGGCCCAGTTAAAAGGAAAGGAATACAAACTCTGTTCAATAAAGATACATATTTTTCTTGGTGGAGGAAAAAAGAAGTGACCTCACACGAGTCAGTCAATAGAACCGTCTAATTTTCTGATGTTTCAAATCTGCCAGAGTTGTTTAATTTGACCAACTTTAAATTAATCATCTCTTGTGTACTTCCATAAAAATGTTTTTACCTGCTAGGGTTTCATCTCAGCTAAGAAAAGACCCACCTCTCATTTTTTATGGATATAACTAAGGATGAATAGAAAGCCTAAGTAGCTGGCTTTCTTTCAGATAATTACAGAACTGAGTTACACTGCAGCATGTCATGCTCAATAGATCAGTCACTGAAGAAGAGGATGTGATAGACAGTGAAATAGCAATAAAATTATTTTGCTTCCTCCCTGTATTTCAGTGGAGAACAGAGACAGGAAACTCAAACGTCAATACGGGATGCAGAGACCAGTTCTAGAAGTCACCAACTCAGAACCTGTTAGAACCTGTTTCCTATCTTAATCTGGACTAAGCGGAGAGTAGAGCAAATACGACAAGTGTACCTTCACTTTCCCTTCAAACAACCATCAAGTTATTTTTCTATCCCATCAGCTGGAAGGACCGGACGTGTTTTATACAATGCAGCCTGAGCAAACGCTTTCTTAAAAATCCTCCAGGAGCAGGGAGGGACTGGGGGAGGTGGGAACCACAGGAGAATGAAACAGGCATTCAGAGTGACTGATCTGAGTGTATTTCTTAGCAACTGACTGGATTTCTTTTGGAGCAATTCTCTTTCTTTCTCTAGAATAAAACCTGGATAATTGCTTCAGTTGTTTTATCAGGTTCCCTGTCTCCACCCCTCCTGGTTCTGCCTCTGCTGCTTTGCTAATTTTACCGAATCCCCTGTGTTGCTTGCCCAAAGAGCGGCGGCTTCTAACCTAAGGTTTCTGTCAATGGTAAGGGGAGAATGAAAGATATTCTGCAAAGATACTTACCTTCCTTCCACGCCCTGCGATTTCACGTCCAGATCAGAGAAAGGGTTTTCTGAAAGGATGCTCAGGACTGAGGGAGAAAACCTGGGCGGCCTCAGGAGAGTTTCTAACTTCCCTTGGGATCTTTTCTTTGGGGAATGAAGCTGAGGAAAGCAACCAAACAAGATCAGAGGAGAGGGCGTGGTCCTCCTCCCCTGGCCAGTGATAGGGAAGACCCCATACCCTCTACCCCACTCCCCACCCACCCCACTCTGACAGATAGCGAGGGAACAAAATGGAGACGGAGATAATCCTGACTGTGTTTCATCAGATTAGAGCAAGAAGGGGAGGAGAGAGGGAGAAAAGAGGAAGGGGGACCTTGAAAGCTAAGGGGATAAAGCTGTGGATGCAGCCAGACAAACCCTCCCCCCCCAAAATCTGGGGCAACCAGCCAGGCAGCCAAAGAATTTGGGAATAAAGAAGACCCTCCGGCTGGACTGGACGGGGGAGAGTTTGGGGCTCTCCACACTGAGGAGCAGTTCCCCAAGGGAGTTGAAGGAGCTGCCGCCTGCTGATCAGATGCTCCTGGGATCCTTGCCCTTCTTTTCCAGCAGATGTTTATTTCACTCAGTCTCCATTTCTTTTCAAACAAAATCACTTATTTAAATAAACCAAGTGCTCTGATAATCCAAGGTATTTTTCAAGGTCTTTAAATCTGCTCTGTGATTTTAGTCTTTTATTCCAGCTTCCCAGAGTCTCTTTTATAAAATGTTTTTTCCCCCCCCCACTCAGTCTCCATTTCTTTCAAAACAAGGTCCATTGTTTAATTGAGCCAATTCTAGCATTTACGCATTACTCTGATAGTCTAAGGTATTTTCCAAATGATACAAGTGTACTCTGTAGTTTTGATCTTTTATTCTCACTTCGTAGCGTCTC